ATGAAGGGAGACAAGCTTGAGAAACAAGACGGCAGCGGCAGCCAAGAGCGAAATCATGAAGGGAGACAAGCTTGGGAGACAAGGCGGCAGCGGCAGCCAAAAGCGAAATCATGAAGGGAGACAAGCTTGGGAGACAAGCCGGCAGCGGCAGCCAAGAGCGAAATCATTGAGGGAGACAGACTTGGGAGACAAGCCGGCAGCGGCAGCCAAGAGCGACGTCATGAAGGGAGACAAGCTTGAGAAACAAGACGGCAGCGGCAACCAAGAGCGAAATCATGAAGGGAGACAAGCTTGGGAAACAAGGCGGCAGCGGCAGCCAATTTCCGCAATCCGGAACCCATCCATTGAGAAGTAAGAACCCCTATAGCTTCCAGCTATCTGGGGAAAAAACTGAAAGGGCGTCGAAGAATACAATAAGGCGAACCTACCCAAACGGAGCTGAAACCTTAGAAGTACGTCACGGTAAAGGATAGCCCATAAGAGCACTTCTTGCAAAGCTCTCTCAAACAGCTTAGGATAAGCTTTCTCAATTCACAAGCGATCTAAGCTCTTGAACACCACCCATTCCCACCTGATGCACTCACACGCATCTCTACTGCATTGTTCAGGAGCGCCAAAGCCATCCACCATGCCATCCCACGTTCTGCGGCACCCAACACAGCAGAAAAGGCGCAGCCAAAGTCCAAGGAAGTCTGCGCACACTCCCTGGGTGGACGGGTCAACGCAAATCAAAACAGGTCAACTTCAAACATGTCGAAAGCGTTTGCTTTAGTGCCACGGAGGTGCAAGGTTGGCTCAAGCAGTGCCAACGCTATCTCCCACTGGCCAGCCTTCAGAAATTCATTCACATGTCAGGCCCAATGGTTCAAATCCATCCAGTTCAAACCTATGATCCGCTCAACCAATGATAATATGTGTCAGTTCTTTCTCCTCTAAAACTCGAAGGTACATCGACAGGTGGCACAGGTGGCGCTGCCAAACATCACTAGTCAGCACAAACATCATCAAGGGTCAAAAGCTGCACAAACTACGCTCGCTGCTCGCCTTCTCGCAGGCACTCATGGCAGCACACATGGCCACTGCATCTGCTCGCAAGCGCCTCAGTGCAGTGCAAAGCAACTACCACACCTCACAAGGAGCTTTTGCTAGCATCCAGCTACATGCCAGCAGCTTAGGTTCGGGGCTTGCATTGCAAACCATAATGTTGCTGGCTTGTGCTTGCTCCCAACTGATCCCACCATCGTGACGGCCTCATGTGCATCCTCTGCAGCAAGTGCATTGCCATTGCCCATTGCCCTCTCTTCTCACAGGCACTGATGGCGGAGCTAAAGCTGATCATCTCCTGAGAGTACGGGCCCGGCTAAGTTAAGAATCCAAAGTAAAGAGTAGCAATCCAAGCTCACGGCAGCTTGCAAATGTGCTCTCTCCATCGATGCCAAAAGAACCAGGCCGTGCTCCCATTCGTAGCCCTTCTCACCTGGGTGTGCCACAAGCAGCTCCTCCTTGTTTTGACCCCGAAACCATGACTAAATGGTCTGAAGAAAAGCACTGAACTCAATCATGAGGGCAGCAGGGTAGCTCAATGGACTTTACGTTGAAAAGGATTTCAAAATGAAATGCGATATAATATATTATATTCTATGTGTGTATGTGTGTGTATGTGTATGCGTATGTGTATGTGTATGTGTATGCGTATATGTATGTATATATACATAGATCTTCAGACTCTGGCTTTAGGGTTTGCCTGCATCGCGTAGGAAAACACTAGGCCTGCAGAAGCTATAAGAACGAGAGCTTCCTTCCTCGTGTCAGCATTCCGCTGTTTCCCATCCAGCGCACCGCCATGTTCAGGTGCAGTCACACCCTGCAAGGGCAGAGTTGAAGGTGACAAGATTGGGTTGCAGAGCAAGCCAAGACCTGAAAGCTGGAGCCATTCTAACAATGCGAAGCACAAAAAGAATCAAGAATATCGAGTTTGTCAACGGTTTCAGAAACTCTGTCCATTCAATGCAGAAAAGTCCAGATTGAACTTGTTGAGCCGTGGCACGTGGCATGCAGCTGCATTAGTGCTCTGGGCCAGCGTCTTGCTCCGGCGCAAGCATCGCAGTGGGCATTGCAAGCCACAAGAGTCCTGAACAAAATTCAGGACTCTGACAGCGCAGGTTCATTTCAGTGCATATGCCATCTTGAGGCAATTTAGCCAGCAGTTCTGCACTATATTGGTCAAGATACGGAGAAGCACCAAATGACATGCCTCGGCTTTGACAGTAGCTCTCTCCACAGTTATCAGTCAGCACCATCGGTGGCTTTGAGATTTCTGATTCGCAGGTCATGCACACTTGCATCCGGAGATCTTTCCAGCAGGCTCGCTGAAGCACGCCACTGGTCTGCCTGTAGACGACAGCTGTTTATCCAAAACCGTGCACATTCGCCCTAGTCAAGAAACATAGCATTTCGGGATGGCCCGAGAAGTCCGCGAAAAAGCAGCCAACACCACACGCCAACAAGTAGACAGCCGGTGTTGCATGTTTCTTTCCACCGACGCCCCTCTCATTAGGCCTTTGAACATGCTCCAATTGTCGCGGTGAAGGCCACTTGATCACGTTGGAGATGGCGATCCTCAATGACAAATTAGCCCTCAACACATGTACGTGCTTGTGGCGACTAGCATGTTGGCAATGTGCGTGTGTGAAAACCTTGGAATCACAGTGTGCCTCGGCACTCATATTTTTTTTAGATTGAGCTTTGCTTCTGGGCTTTGAAGGGGGCCATCCCATGCACTATGAGCGACAGTCCAAAGTACATGCGGATATGGCAGGTGATCCCATGACGTGTCTCACTGTCCTTGAGCACGATTGATCATGGAACCTGCCTTGTCGTTGCGGAATGTCCGCTCCGTTTCCATACACCCTACTCTCGGATGTGGTTTTTTGGAAAGGTGGTGGTGGTCCAAGTTTTTGGAAGATGACTAGGCCCGAAGACCACAGCACCTTTGCAAACTGATGGTGGTGACGAGATGTCCTCCTCCTATTCTGAGAGTCGGCCAGTTCTTTGTGCGATGTTGGTAACACGCTCTCCAATATACAAGCTGGTGAGAACTCCAGGTTGCAGGCACGCATGTAAGCTTTCGTTGACCTTTGTCAGTTAGAATTTCCTGATTTGAAACCTCTTGGTCACCGGTCCTCGAGTCCTTGCAGGTATCCGGCAGCGGCCACAGTCACTGCACGTACACCTCAATCCATAGTCTGCGTGTGTGCAACCCTTGGAGTCAAAGGGGGCCTTTGGTCTTTTGAGATAGGTCCGTTGCAGGGGGCCATCCCTCTCACCATTGGTGGATGGCTAATGAAAAGGCCAATCTCTTCGAGTTCTTGGAACCTCCCATGAATACTCGCAGGAATCCACACCTTTCCCTTTTCGACCACTACATACGGTTCCTCCCATGATGATGCCATACGTCAACTGAGGCTTCCACTCACACCCTACCAAACTTTCCGGGAACTCCGCCGGCTTTCGTAGTTTCACTAGTCCCCACAGCTCAGCGAAAATATGCCTCCCCTCGGGGAGGCGTGTGTGTGTGTGTGTGTCCACCCCTGGACAAAGGGTTCTCCACCTCCACAGCATT